CATTATAATAATATATATGTATGGGCTTAATAATTTCGTTTGTTTCATAGGGAAATTCATAAGAATATTACCGTAACAAATATGATAGGTATTATATTTTAAGTACTTACAATGTATTATTTATTTTTTAAATTAATTCAATGTTCCTGTGTAAACGAACGTTTTTCTTGTCCCATACTATAAACGCCACAACATTTAGTACATAAAACGAGATCTACTTCTGTAGTTCTGCTGTTAGATATGTATCTTCAGCAAACATATTGACAATCGACAGAATACAAATTTGTTTGCCAAACGAATTCTAATTTCAAAGTAGTTACATGGCGTCCAATTTTGTCTAAAATCAGGACCTGTGTCATGTAGAGAACACGCCACAATAAAGAAAGTGTGATAAGCTTCACACGCAGATTTGAGTATTCAGGAATTATATAAAAGTCTGCTGTAAATATTTCGAATTTTATACTTACAAGATATATTTTGTCGTTAAAATATAGTCCGTTAATTCTAAACATGTATTTAAAACAAAAAATATGAAAAGAAACGAAACCAGCGTTAGGGTGCGGACTGTGGTCGGAACATTTCGAGTTTCTAAGGTTGTTAAAAAGTTGTTAAATAATGAAAAAAGTTTTGTTATGAATCTGAGTATTCATTGGCGTGTTACAGTTGAGGTGACAGCGCATTTCAGTAGTTTTTACAAATTTTGAAGATGGGAGATTCCAAAAATCGTCTCTAAAAATTGTTAATTGTGTAGCATTTCCAACACACAGAAAAGCCAATTATAAATATCAATTGGTTTTCAAGTATCTATTCTCATTTACTCTTATTATAGAAACAACTATTTTGAGCCAATAGATTTCCTAAAATATCCCCTGCCAGACACCACCCACAGTATTTATGTGAGTCCTATTTAAGGAACAAGTCTATTAAAAATAAACAAAAGAATATAAAAAAATAAACCTTCACTAGATAATATAATAATATCTATTAATTACCAATATACCTATAATTGACAATTATAACAGGTATCCAATAGTATTCGGTTATGGAAAGTGATCACTGCAGAATATATCAGGGTTTTTGATAAACTCAAAATCAATAAAAGTCACGGAACGTTTGAAAAGTATTTTAAATAGAGATGTTGAGCGCCGAGTGGATATAAAACAAAATGTACATTTAAGTTGATATTTTAAATCGTAGTATACCAAATATTCTTTATGTGATTGCTGTATTTGACGTATGAGTATGTTTTGAGCAATTTTTAAAAAAATTCTTTGAAATAAATATTCATCTACATAAACCTATCATGTTTAAAATGTATGAATTGATTGCATATATATATAACCTTCATTTATTATTTTTAGTCATTCATATTATAATAAATATTAATATTAAAATAAAATTCTTGCTAAGTTATTGCATTAGTTTATACTTTGATAATTTAAGTATAATAGTTTAGGAAGTATCTTTGAAGTCAAAGTTGAACAAGTGTTGTGTAATATTATATTCATTTATATATAATATGCTACATAACTAAGCTATGAATAAATAGATACAAATAATAAAACACTTCCATAATATGTATCTACTAAAAGCAACATATTACTATTATGAAGTTGGGTCAATAACAGTTTCAACAACTATGATGGAAGTATTATTTTAAATTTAAACGTCACATGAATAATATTTCTCAATATTAGAAGTCAAATTTTATTGACCTTTACCTGCATGCATTGTTATAGGGTTAAAATTGATCGAGGGTGGAAATACAATTTTTTTCATCCGAGAAAAGTAAAATTATGGTGAAAAAAGTGGACAGGCGACAAACAAAAAAAGGATGACCCAAATTCGTATACTTACACTGCTGTGATATTGAAATCTCGGCGGTGTCACCAACGTCAAGGGTTTTCGTCCGAGAGAGGTACTTTCGCATTTTGAATAAAAAGAGCAGAAAAATAAAAAATAAACATAGCCAGACCATCGTGTATTCTCATCAATAGTTCTCACACACGCGCGCGCACACACACACACGCACGCACGCACGCATGCACCCAACGAATAATAGAATGTGGCGTTTTTCTCTTATACTTTCTGATGATACATGCGCGATGTGCCATAATGTGACAGCTAAAGTTCAATAGCTTTTACTTATACCAGCGTGCACGCGTAAAAACAAACCCCTGTTCTTATATTTTTCTGATTTTAAAATTACAATTTTATCGATTCCGTGTATGACACTTTAAGAGTATTTCTCTATAAAGTTACGCAACAAAAACATTTCGCTTCAACCAAACATCGCATAGTGATTTTAATTCCTCGATTTTTGTTGTACAACACTTTAGAGACGGTGTTTTATGTTGAATTAGTATATTTTAAATTGTATTCTATATTCGATACGTTTTAGTGCATACGTATTTTTTTAGTTTTATATGTTTATTGAGTAGTTAAGAAATTATATAATCGTAAAAAGAAATTATTTTTATGTCCATTCTATTGGATATGACTTACTACTTGAATGTGTATTATCTTTCGATAGATATTTGTCATATTATGCCATTTACATGTATGACAAGAAATTTAATGAATTTTAAATCAATCAATGAAAACGTTTCGCTACATAAAGACATTGTTTGTACAGAAAAAAAAATGTCAATGTACATAATATTATACGTACATTGTAATACCAGATTTTGTGTCACTCAATTCCGGCAAGGATATTCATCAACTTTTTGATGTTCATTAAGTCTGTTATTTGTATGAAGGTTTTCAGAATTTGTACAAAATTTGAATTTATGTTCCAAGAGATAAACTAATGAGGGACCAGGGACACACGTATCTAGCCCCAATGTGTGTACGGTTATTCTATTTAATGTGTTATTTAATTTTATATATTAAACTCCATTACTTAATATTTTATGCGATCGTTTATAAAATGTATCATTTTATAGCTCCAAAGTTTCAAACCGTTTTTATATTAAATTATTAACTATGATAAAAAATAAATGTATACAGTTTAGGAATTGTATTATTTATTAGATTTAAATTCAAAAATGTTGTTCCGTATAAAAATTAAAAACAATATTTAAATGTTCACTGTTTAGTGAATAATTTAATAAAAAATATTTATAATATTTACCTTTTGTATTACATTATTGTAATAATATATAATTTGTCTGTTTCGATAAATGTATGTGTCTGCTAGATTTAAGTTTGGAATTCTTTGCTACTATTTAATATTTTAATTCGTTACTATTCTTCTTGTTTCGTTGAAATGTTATGTTCGAATTGAGCTGCAATACTTGAATTAAAATCTTCTAGTTAGAAAAAAATAAAAAATACATCTGAAGATGTCTTTGATCGTTTTCGTAAAAGTCAATTTTTTTTTCTGTGTGTACTTAAAGTTTTGACTGGGGTGAAACTAAACAATGGATAACTTTAATTTATATTACGTTGGAGAATTTCTAAAAAACCATCGTAATTTAAATCGATAAAAATGGTGAAGAAAATATTTACATAAAATATATTATTAATCACAAATATTGTCACGGGGAGGGGATGACGGCAACGTCGGCATACGTCGAAAGCAGATAGGTATATTATAATAATACTATAGTTTCGGGGTTATACTTGGTTGAAAATCTACACATATATATATATATTTTACAAAATGAAAAAGGAGGATACCAATCGAATAGACTTCAAAAATTGTGTCTATGCATAGAAATATGGTTTATTTTTTATTTTTTTACTATTATGGTATTCAATTAATTGAAATACTTTATAAACTTTCTATTAAGAAAATACTTTGTGAACATATTTTATTACAGGATATAAGTTCATTGAACTAATGAAACTACTGAACTTTCATAAATTACTTGAAAGCATGTTAAATAGAAAATGACTAAAAATAATGTTAACGTTCATCACGCCGTGTGTAATATACGTGCCTACTATAAACATTTTATTTATTTTTGATATTTATTGAACATATATATGCTTGTGATGTCGAAAATACGAATTCACTAATTATAACTTTGAAAACGCCGAACCAATATACAGAGTGATCTATTTGGAATATTATTTCTTATTGATTAAAGTATTTATTATAAGTATGCATGCTCTATATTTTATTTTGCTCATAGAATTGTAAGTTTTATATTCAGCTTAAAGAACTACATCTGAACTTATAACTTTTGATAATTAAACGATAAGTTAACCTATTTAAATATTTAATATCTTTTTAAAACAAAATTTATGAATTCTTTGTGTTAATAAACAACATCTAACATTTGATACTACAGACATACTCTACCTATCACACTTTAACATATAGTTATATTTGATTACCATGAACATCGTAAAGTATTTAATTAATTTGTCTATTTTTATTAAATTGTGCAGGTGTTTGCCACATATAAAACAAATATAAATGATTTAATTACATATCTGTAATATTTAAGTATTGCTGAGACCTATTTTGATTAACCGTGGAAACTAAGGTTTATAATGTTTATATTTTATGACACATGTCATCAAAAGAATAATACTGACGAATAAAGATATACAATTAACGCCTAAGGCGAGTGTATTATAAACAAAAGAGTACCTACCTACTATCTACTAACTTCTTCGCTATTACTTGATTAAACCTAACTACTCGCAGCAGAAAGCATTAATTTTAATTGCATTTTTCCGTTTCATATCATTGATATTTACTGATATTTACCATAAATAGATTCGTGAATAATCAAAAATAATATTATAATATTAAATTCCATAAAATTATGGACAAACTTTTTTTTTTACGCATTTGCAAATTCGTTTCCGGCCGCCAATCAAAAAAACCCATTGCTTTTTGTTCGATATTCACTACATTATTAGATCATTCATTCAAAGTCGTTTAGTAAACCATATAATATAATAATATAGTGACTGCGGTAATGACGTTACTGCAGATGATGTCTCTCGATTAGATTAAATTTCGTAAATCACTATATACTTACATATAACTTCCATTCGGCCACCATCTTGTGCGGAAGCAAACGACGGCGCTTCTGCAGAAACTTCGCACCGGTAATTAGCTGTGGTTTTCAGCGTTATGTCTCTCAACGTTAACTGTCGACTGTTGGAATGCATGTGCTGCGCAAACAAATGCGTAAAATTAAATATAAATACACCGGTTTAATGATGGTCGAAAGGGGGCGAGTTCTCTTGGGGTCGTGGCTGTGGTGGTGGCGAGGGGGGTGAGAAATAGTTACACGATACACACTTACGTCGACTTTAATCCCGTCCACCACGTAAGACGTCTTCTGAGGTTCCGACTTGGGCACATACCGGTAAAACTCCTCGTTTTCGCGGTACCACTTGACCGCGTACAGCAGGGCTCCTTCCAGCTCGAAGTCGCACCGGAGCACGGCCGTCTCTCCTCGAATCTTGTACCGAGGTACCACCGCTTTCACCGTCAGTCCGTCACCTGTTTGGAAAAGAGTTCCACAGCATTAGGCAAGCAATACCTACGACTTTCGAGTTCGTCCTAAGGTTATTTTTGCATTCCGCGCACAGCTGATGGCAGTATTTAATATAATAAATGGGGTTTGTAGTTGATGTTTTTTGTTCTGTAGGCAGTCATGAAGCACCCCATAAACACTTAAAACACTTCTCGATATCGTCGATCGAGAGAATCTTATAAGAGGTATCATATTATTATAGCATCACTTGGATTTCCCACACTTCCTGACGCAATTCCAACGAAATAACAACATAATGGCTTCATATATTGTACAAAGTCTGTTAAAAATAAATGAGAACATCGAGAACTGCCATGAAAAATGTTCGACCAATAATTGAAAGAAATTTGTGTACAAAGCGAAAAGCACAACCACTGTCTCACTTGGATTAGTGTTTTCATTGTTTTAAAATTTCTCTGCAAATAAATTCGACATATGCAAAAATAATTAAACGAGTTTTCATCGCAACGTAATCAAATGTCCTAAATCACTGATCTAGTACGTGTTTTTTTTATTTATAATATTGTTATTCAAAGGAATATAATAACTGCTGTAATGCCATTTGCAAAAACTAAAAACAAGACACACAATGTAGTTGTAAACTAAGAAGAGTTGTCGTTACATTTTTACATGAGTTGAGCAATTTTTATGTTTAAAAATAATCTAATCGTATACAGGAAAATAAATGTAATTTTTTTTTAATAAACGATTTTAACAATGAAATGCACAATAAAATTATATTGTATTAAAAGATGAAGTATGTGGTCCTCAGGCATGAATGAGTTGAATGTGCGCCAACAATTAGTGGCACTTAACTTAATTTGTTTTTTTTGCAAGTACTCAACTGTATCAGAAGTAGAATTTAGTAAGTAAAAATATACATCAAAAATACATAAAATTACAAATAATCATCAGGTATTAGTTTATTTAATCTAAACATTTAATCCAGTTATGTGTTTTTTGTGACTCGTAAATTAATAAGATCCATTTACTTAAATTTTTCTGACATTTTTCGTTTAAAATTGTTTAAGAATATTCTTCAAAATAAGTAATAAAAGTACGAACAGTTATGAAATTTTAGTGTAGGTTAATACAACTATTTTAAATTAATAATATGTTACATGAATAGTAGAGATGTCTTATATTTTGTAGTCTTGAATGCAATATCTTGACTGCTATTTTTCGGTGGAATTATTTTCCTTTTTTTATTTAGCGCCCGCAAATTGAATCTCATTTTTAAAAAAAAATTATTTTAATTTTATCGAAATTCAAACTTCATTCAATTTAATTTTAAAAGCAATTATAAACTTGTCGACAAGTTTCAGTGACTTATCGCATTTCCCTCTTTGCCATATTAATATATTATGGTTCATATAGCATAGAGACTATAAAGGTATTGCATTGCACTTTAACTAAAACTTTACGTAAAGAACTGTGAGAAATTATCAGGTACGTCAGCGCTCGAAGACTTCTTACTCAGAAGAACTTACGACGTAGTATTTATAGTAATATTAAATTTTAGCTATGATAACTAATAAATTACTCTAACTTTTCCAATGTCTTTCAAGTGCCACCTAGTATTCTAAAAGCTTGACAGTGTAATTAATTAGTTCCAAATATTTGGGAACGATCGTAAATGTTAAAACTTTTTGTAATTATAAACTATTTACAGTTCCCCTGAATTGAGGGATTTTGTATATTTTTAACTATACGAACCGAAAACTGAAAATGCATTTTTAAAAGCTGTTTACGAAACATTAAAAACGATTTTCATTAATATATTTTTCGTATTTCGTACGTATAATAATATCACCTAAGTAGCCGTCAGTAAGTGGTTGTACGTTGCTTTACATATAACACGCATATATATGTTTAAATAATTAGCAAACACGGAAAATTAATTATTTAAAAATTAAAATACATAGAAAGTCTCGAAACTTAATTATAATAACCGCGAACAATCGTGCGACGGGAGTCGCTTTCCGGAAAATCTACAGTTCTCGAACCGTCTATAATATTATTAACATCGTGTTACCTGCCGGAAGTGCGTAAAATGATAATATTTCTGTGTTCGAGATTCCCGGGTTGTGCTAACACCTACCGCAGTTACCCATAACTACTCGGCCCGATCGGACGTATAATAATATAGTATAATGTCGGCAGGTACTAATAATAATAATAATAATAATAATAATAATAACAATAATGATAATAACTAGACGGCGAGAATATTTAGAGCTCCCGGGCCGTCCCATTCTGGCAACAGTCCGGTCGAAACGACATTGTGACGGCCATTACGATGAAATATAAAACAATAATGCCTTATTTATTCGCATTATAATATTATAATACCATGCAATGCGTCGTGCGAGGTCCGAGGGGTTAATAATGTACGTTTTGTGTATTTTGTCACAATAATATAATACAATAATAATATGACCTAACCCAACGAAACGCTATTCTCGCATTAAACGTATACATATATTATACGTGTGCGTGCGTGCGTGTGTGTGTGTGTGCGTGCGTGTGTGTGTGTGTGTGTGTGTGTGTGTGTGTGTGTGTGTGTGTGTGCGCGCGCGCGTGCGATGGAATTCATCGGGTTTCGGGATAATCGACTGTTAATACGGTGCGGTCGTCGCCGGCCAATATTAATAATATCTCAGCCGAACACATTTATAATAATATAATACTGTAATAATAACATTACGCTACTAAATTTGCCTATATTGCCGGCGCACATTATTAGACGCGTAATATCATATTATTGTATATTATAATATTGTCGTTTTACTATTTTAACACTCAAACGAACAACGCGAGAAAACATGGTATTATTATTGTCGCAGTGTATCCACGAGTGACATAATAATATAATGTCATAAAATATGTTTCTATTAAATACAACACTGCACGAGCGTGGTATTAGAATACAAATCATGATAATTTCACGATGATAATCGGAGTGTTAAACACTGCAGTTAGCGCGGCGGTCACGAAAAATATTTAAGCATAATACGTCTGATGACGGTGACCTACACATAATTATAATAATAATAATGTATTATGCGTATCGCCGTTAAGACCCCCCCCCCCCGGTCGCCGGCTAGTATTATATTATAATAATAGTTATACGACCCTTAAAATGGTACATATTTTTACGAACTCTGAGTGTATAATATCAAACTCTATTGCCGCTGCAGCGTTATTGTTACGACAGTGTAAAATAACTTTGTACAGTAATTATTATTGTCGAGCTTAATAGGCTCATTTCATAAACCATCACTTACGAACCACGCTCAACCATCTACCATTTTGTAAAACCATTTTACAGCCCATCTTGGGGTGTTTAGTCTCGTGATTATTAGCTTAACAGGACAGGATATTTTAATATTTAAAAACTTTTAAGATATCGCGTCGTCTAACGTTATACTTAGTCGAAACACAAACTTGATGATTTTCGTGGATTGATATATTTTAATGTTATATTATTTTAAACAATAAACACTTTACCGCTGCTGCACTTATTGTATCGTCTTACCATTGGGCGAAATTTCGAACATTAAAAAACATTTAAAAATAAATATTGAGAGCTGACACGAAATCAATAAGGTTCCCTGCAGAAGCGCTGAGTACTTTATAGTATTAATATTCAAGATCTCACGTCAACTTTTGTAGCCACCTAATGTGTTTACGGACCTGCAGACAGACAGTAAATTTAAATTGGATTTCTCGGACCAAAGAGGGTGTGAAACGTGCGTGGGCATTCATAAATAAATTAAATCGATTACAATATAAATAAATCCTCGGCGACTTCACGGAGGACATAAATGTTTTTATTCATACACTATTGACAAACAAAAGAAAGAAAAAACAGGGCTTATAATTCTATTTTTTTGTTTTTTTTAAACCCTCCAAATGTTATTAATCCATATCCGTTCTGTACGCTGCAGTGAACGAATCTAAAATAATCTAAAATCACGTGTCGTTCTTGTTTTTCAAAAAAACGTTTATACTATTCGAACTTGTTGACACGGTTTCTGGAATATCTATTGACTTTTATTTTGATAGTATTGTTGTTTTTCTGCGTAGGTACGCTGTTGCCGCGATTTCTTTTTTAAATTCCAATAAATTATATTATCGTATTCTTAAAATTCGTTTTGATACATGTACACTCGATGCAATGGCAATATTATAGTAATTTGTGTAAATGGTTGTTGTGGATACTTAGTTTTGCATATTATACGATATACCTAACACAATTTATGGGCATATTATTTAAAATATTCCAACTACTTGGGATATTTTGCTTTTATTCATTTCTATAAATTATAGAATTACCCTAAAAAAAATGTTATGTGACAATACCGCGATATCTTTTAATCCGTATATTATTATCGTCAAGTGTGTGTGTGTGAAAAAAAAAGAAAAACGCAAAATAAGTAAAAGTACATATTTTTTTTTATCGGAATCAGAAATTTTTGTTTTTGTTGTATTATAATCACTCAAATTCTGAACAGTTTGTCAGCCATTTTAGTTACTGCCATTATTATTTATTTTAGTTCTACACATATAATATCCATTACGAAGTACAATTTAATTATTTACAGTAAAAGAAATAAAGTTTATTTTTACTAGAATCCCTTTACAGACGTTCACCTAAGCCAAAAATACAGAAAATCGGATTTCAGATTATGTGTGACGTCGTTTATCTACTTACCAATACGTCGTTTCGAATGAGGAACATAGGTACCGTACGTATTTTAAAAGCTGATGGCATTTTACAGTTTTGACTTTTATCTTACATAAGTTGAAAAAATCGATATTTTTATTTTATCACTGTCACAATTACCTACCTATAGGTAGGTATATACTATATACACATATTGAATCACATTTTTTTCTGGTCCTCATAAGTTAACAGTACAACTATGACAGACACATATGAAATACATCCAACAAACTTGTT